TGCTGGACTCCCACGTAGTCGACTGCAGTTTGAGTCCCGGACCTGGTGGCTTAAACTCACAGCGGGCATGTGTGCGTGCGTGCCCAAGATCCAGAGAAGAAAATGAAGGAGAAGGGATTGCGGCATGGCCATCCCCTCTGCGGGGGTGATTTCTCACTTTCTATCTCTCTGTCTCTGTCTTTCTGGGAAGCGTGGGTGCCCTACAGCAAAAAAAAAAAAAAACCTGTCAAAACAATACAAAACAAACAAACAAACAAAAAAAAAAACAGGGCAGAAGACGGAAAACAGAAGGAATATAATGGTAACCTGTTATTAGAATTTATTCATATCTCCTTTTTTTGTTGTTCCAAAAAAGACGTTTAAGATAGATAGTACCAGGGCTGGCAGGTGGTGTGATTATTAATGACGCTGGACTCACACATGGCCAACCTTAGTTGGAGTTCCAGACCTGGTGACTTGCTTTCTCACTTTCCCTCTCTCTTGCTCTGTCCTTCTCTGGTCAAATTAAAAATAAATAAGTGAATAAATAAAGTTAAATAAAATAATTCTTTAAAAAGAGATGGATAGTACTGAAAGAACTTAAGTATCACGAATGAAAAGAAAACAAGGAAAGACTTTCCCTGAGAAAGTGTACACAAACATACTTCCTATCTCACAGCAGGCTGAGAGTTATTCGGGCTCTAAGTCACTTAACGAGCTATCACAGCCTCAGGTAAGTTCTCCAAAAAGACAGTGGCTCGGCTCGACAAAGTAAGAGGCTAAAAATAGTGAAAATTCCAAGAGGGAATGAATGAGGAGCCAAGAAAGGAAGCACAATTCTTGTGGAATGCCAAGCCTCGCTTGTCTGAACATGTTTTTCGAGTATGGGGGCTGTGAATTAGAACTAAACATAAAAATAAACACACACAGACATACAAGTATAGAAAAGTGAGGATTGGGTGCACTTGACTTCTCTGATGGAGACAGCTGTGACTTTTATTTTTTCAAAGGGCAGAAAATGGAGGGTGGGGATTGGGGGGGATGGAATGTAAAGCCAGTTTTTTTTTTTTTTATGTTAACCAGCTGAAGATGTGAGGACAACTGACGCTATGTAGATTTTCTGATTTTTTTTTTGGGGGGGGGAGATTTTTGCTATAAGGTGCATGAGCTCGCCAGAAAGACAGAGACAGACAGAGACACAGAAAGCGAGAAATCACCCCCCTCAGTGGGGATGGCCACGCCGCAATCCTTTCTCCATTCTCCTCTCCGGATCTTGGGCACGCACGCACACGCGCCCAGTATGCGTTTAAGCCACCAGGTCCAGGACTCAAACCATGGTCAACTACATGGGAGTCCAGCGACATAGCCATTATACCATCTGCTGGCCCCACTTTTCTGATTTTTTTGAGGCCGATTTTGATAAATAAGACATAGCCCATGTGGACAGGTGGTCCCCTTTATTCAACTAGTTGGCCAGTTTTTCTTTATACGACTTTAACTATTTCTGATCAAGATCTTTTTCCTACTTGTCACATTAAATACAACTTTCTATCATCTTTCTATCCAAAAAGAAGTATTTAACTTTTGGGGCTTTTCTGACAACCTCAAGGACAGAAAAGATGCCTTTCTATGCTTACATGTACAGCCACTGTAATTCCCATCACAGGAATACAGGCAGCCAGTAAACTACGCTCACTATTAATAACTGAGATAGAGGCCAGGAACTGGGGTGAAATGTAAGAAAATAAAAAAACTAGCACAAAGTTTCAAACAGCACCATTACAAGTTGATAGGGAGAGATAACCAGCCAGTTTAATCTTCTATTTTGTCCTAAAATTTAAAATATCCACCCTTCCTCTAGATCTTAAAATAAATACTGGCTTATATAACAAGTCCAACCATTTCCACTACCTAGAGCATGCACCATAGGCTACGGTGAGAAACATGGAAGGGTACGGCAACAAACAGTAAGCCCTCTCTAAAGCACTGACTCGTATGGATGGGGCGATGGCCACGTAAAGAATATTATACTAAAGAAGATTTCATGTAATATTTTCTTCTACTCAACTTTGTGTTTATCTTTAGCAATTACTTTATGGGACCAGAATAGTACTGCCTTAATTTTCTTAACTTGACTCCTTTAATATATATTAAGCCTGTCTATAACTTCAGTTTTTTTCCCCCTTGACATGGAAAAGGGACTTCTTATTTTCACCTGAAAAAAGCAAGGGTTTTAGTAAGTAACAGCTAATTTTTTTTGGTAATTAGTTCATTCATTACACTGTCATTTTATAAAATAAAATGATTCCTCAGGTTGTGACTATCATATATATTTCCAAAAATTTTTCAAATTGAATATAATTTATTTATATTCAAAATTTCATAAAATAAAGCCTCAAGTGCAAGAAAATATAAACAGCAACACACAACAAGGTATCAGCA